GGACTTCATAATAGTAAATATTCTGCTCCCATTGTGTTCAAATTTAACATCTTGATAAATGATAAAACAAAAATAAACATTTTTCTAGGCTTTTGGGGGAAATCCTCCTTAATATATTTTGATTTCCATTTGTGTACAAATTAAGGAAATGACTTTTTTGAGGGTTTTAGAAAAAGAGATTTCATTGTGTACTATTTTGAGTGGGCATAGACTTTCACTGGCATTTGGACATTTAGGAGGAATACCAGGTTAATAAGACGTGTTCAATAGAAAAAACCATTTGCTATCTATGACCAAAAACATGTTTAAAGTAAAATTGAATCTCTCAGATGGAAAGGCAAACTTATTATTTCCTCCCATAGTACATCTGTTTAGGGCTGGCTGACTAATCCTTTAAGAAGTTGCTGAACTTTTTCCAAGTGCTGAAAACCTAATTCTGTTTTAAAAATAGCTGTATGTAATCTTATCTTCATACGTGTATTTTAAGAGTTTAACAAAAAAGGATAATTATTTTTGCAAACTAATGATTTCTTAGGCCCAGACTCCAACTGAGGCTTTATATTTTTTTAAGGAGTCCTGGGAAAAATAGTCCATAAGAGTACAGGGTTTGGGGGAAGAGGGATTGGCTTTATGTGTTTTTTTTTTTTAATTTCAGTTTGATGTTAATATCTCTAATATGTGAGAATAGGAAGCTTTCCCCCTGAATTACAATAATAGTTGGAGATTCATTAGAATCATAGTGATAGATGCAGTAGAGGCCCTCAGGAAACTCCTTAACTTGCCAGAGGAATCTTGGACTAATAACTTCACCAAATCAGCTACAAAGCTGAAATAAATTACACTGAAAATACATGTCAAAGTGAAATGAACATACTGTGTTTTGAGACCTCTCACTAATTTCTTTGATCTTAACCATTAAATTCAGCATTTGTAAGCAATTTGTTATTTAAATGCCGATGAAGAAAATAAAAAATTAATTCTAGAGAGTGGTCTTTTTGACAGACTTCCCTTATTTTTCTTTGCTGTGGTGATTTCTTCCTCACTTTGTTCCTGCACTTTTCCATAATAGTTAATAATAAGCTGGACTGGCTGTTTCCACTATCACTACCTTGGGCAAGTTACTTCTTTGTGCCTCCGCTTCTGTATCTGGGAAATAAATATCTACCTCACAGTTTTGTGGTAAAGGTTAATTGAGAAAATAACTTACATATCAGTTAGAATACTGTGAGGTGTGGAATAGGCCTCCAAAATTCCCAAATGTTCACTGTCGTCTTGGTTCTTCTCTCACGGGCCCTTCCCCCTTCCTGTTGTTTCTGACATATCTTCCTGCAACCTCCATGTTACCGGCTTGTGTGTTTCTCTTTTATGATTAGGTCAACCAATATTAATACCTTACTATTTGCTATTGCCTAATCAAATTTTACTCTATTTTAGTCATTTCTCAATATAACAGTTGCTTTCTCCCATGGTTTTCAAAGAATACTTTCAACCTCTGTGTTTTGATTAGATTGACACATTTTTTAATTTCCTTCCCAGGGCAGTTTCCATTAAATGAGTTCTATTGGTTATGTTTGAAATGAAGGAGAAAATACTGATTTAGTTAATGCGGTAAAATGGAATGATTTGTAATGACTTGAATACCTGTCATCAAGGTATGTGTTCTAGAACCAATTCTGGCTTGGTCATGTGGGGGCCAGAATCACTTAACCATAACCATGGCTAAAATGGATGACCCTGTTACAGCTATTAATTTAGAGTACAACATGGTATGTCTTGTATTAAGAGTCTATGCTATGTATTGATGTCAGCAGAAATCATTTACAAATTCTTGCTTATGACCTGTCTCTAAGATAAGTCTTTAAACACTTCCTTATGCCGTTAATAGAAGACATGAGACAAGAGGTATGGTAGGCAGCTGTTTGATCTAGTGAACCTTTTGGTTAAAAACAATGGGTATATGAACCTTCCTATTGATTTTGTATCTTTAAAACTTTTCTATTTTATTTTATTGAGCTAATTGGTTTTTTTATGTGAATCTAAGATGTATTTCCTAAGTTAATGTATATTTGGTAATCTCGTTTCTTTTCTGTATTATATATAATACATTAAGATACTAATCCTTCCGTGGAAGTTTACTTGTGGTTAAGAAAAAATAATTAAGGCAGTGAAAAGGATAGTGTTTTCTTTGTTTTACTTGCTTAGTCAGTGGGGCTTTTCCTCATTGGGAGCTGTGTGGTTTTGTAGCTCTTAAAACAAACACCAGCATCCTCTAAGAAAGTAGCAGTATTTTGCATGTCTTATTATATCTTGTATGCTGAGATCTCTTTTTGAGAGAGAAACATGTGTGGTGAGTTCATGTTTCTTGAAATATACATGATTCTTCAGACTGGAATTTAATGAAATAGGACTCCCATTTGAAAACCAAAGAGGTAAGGCTACAAGAGAGGATAAATGTGATCAAATGATTAGCCAGGGGCTAATAGAAATTCTAGGAAGAATGACAGATTGTATATTAGAAAGAAATATGATATCATATTCATTGAAGCTTTTACAACTAAAGATCTAAAAGAAATAATAGAAAATTACTGAAAGAGATGAATGTCTGAAACTTTAGAAATGCATGTGGTGTTGGATTAATCCAAGAAAGAAAGACTGATGGACAGGTAATAAATTACATTGTATAGGAAGTCTGCATTCTTTGTGCTCAAGGTACTTTGGTCTTTCTTTCTTTCTTTCTTTCTTTCTTTCTTTCTTTCTTTCTTTCTTTTCTTTCTTTCCTTTCTTTCTTTCTTTCTTTCTTTTTTTCTTCTTTCTCTTTCTTCTTTTCTTGCAAGATACATTTAAGCAACTCTAGGCCAGTTTCAGAAAATTCAGTTCAGGATTTTCATCATACCATATGTGTATAATTCTTTGGAATAGATCAACTATTTTAAACAAAGACCCCAAATCCTTGAGTGGAGAAGGTTAATCTACACCTTCCTTTTGTTCTGTGCCAAACTGATATGTTTTTTCCTTTGGACGGTAAGAACAATACAGAACACCTTTTCATATACAATCAATTGTAATGTCCCCAAACAAAAAGAGTTTCAAGAAAGGTACTGTACTTCTGTTGGGGAAAAAGTTATACTTCAACAACTATACTTTTGGGAAAGAATATATAGTCATAAACTGGAAAATGTGTATATATGTATTTTTATTGCAGAGAAGTGAGTTTTTACTTCTAAATTTTATTTTGCTTTGGGTACAACATTTTACTTAAAAAATTATGCATTTCTCATGGGGATCCCTGGGTGGCTCAGTGGTTTGGCACCTGCCTTTGGCCCAGGGCATGAACCTGGAGTCCGGGGATCGAGTCCCGCATCGGGCTCCCGGCATGGAGCCTGCTTCTCTCTCCTCCTGTGTCTCTGCCTCTCTCTCTCTCTCTGTGTCTATCATAAATAAATAAATAGATAAATCTTTTAAAAAAAATTATGCATTTCTGGTTTTGGATGTGTAATTATTGTCTGTCTTCCTATAAATTTGTATACAAACTAGTATATTTCCTTTTTTTCTTTCTTAAGTAGGCATAACCACTATAATAATTGTGGAGAAATTTAACTATATTTACATATATTGTTTGAGAAAACACACTCTTCTTAAACATTTGAACCTTTTAATCAATTTTCCCCCAGATTTTTACCATTCAGACTTGGCATTCATTCGTGTTCTTAGTTTTTGTAGGTCCAAGGAGAAAGTGAAATGTTTCCTGAAATATAAATAAGTAATAAAATTAATGTGCATACAGAGTACACTCTTTATTCTTCTTGGACATATTCTTGTTGCCCCTTTTTTAATATATCCTTAATATCTGGGGGAAAGAGATTATTACTCTGTTAACTGAAGTTCTGACTCCAATCATCTGGGCTTCTATATATACTTAAACATGTAAGCTTAAATTCAAGTATTTACATATAAATGAGTTCTATATTCTATAACCATATTAAAATATTTCCTAATATGATGGAAGGTTTACAGGATTTGTTTTTGATAGCTATATCAGAAATAAGATCATTATTAAAATACTATAAAAGCTAGTTCTTTCTTGGATCCTATCAGATAAAATATAAGGAATAATGTTAGCTTCATATTGTGATAGCATAATACAGATGAGCACTGTTAATAAAAATGGAATAAAAGTTGTAAGTTTTGGGCAGCCCCAGGCGGCTCAGCGGTTTAGCACCACCTTCAGCCCAGGGCCTGATTCTGGAGACCCGGCATCAAGTCCCACATCGGGCTCCCTCATGGAGCCTGCTTCTCCCTCTACCTGTGTTTCTGCCTCTCTCTCTCTCTCTCTCTCTCTCTCTCTCTCTCTCTGTGTGTGTCCCTCATGAATAAATAAATAAAATCTTTTTAAAAAAAATTTGTAAATTTTGTTCCCTTAATATGCTTCATGGTTTCCATTGAATCTTTTCTGAATCAGTTTTAGAGGACAATTTAAAATGTAACTCATTATGCATTTTGTTTTTGTTTTATAATAACGTGCATAATGTGTGTTGAGGGCAAGCAGAAACAGGGAAGAAGGGAAACTTCTGGGAGGGGGGATCTCTCTCTAGTAAGAAGAAAGTAATCAAAATTATTAGCTGTACCTATTAAACTCTTTATCAGTTATTACTAAACTAACTTCTAATACTTTGAACAGGGTTGATAACATATACAAATTCATGCAAAACTTCAAAGAAAATTTCATTTATAAATGGCCTGTAATGAAGAACCTTTCTCTTACCTAAATGGTTTGTCTTGAGTTTGAAATGTAAACACAGGATATTTAATGAGCTACCAGTTATTCTCTTCAAAGTTACTTATCTCCATTCCTGGTGTGTATATACCTTTGGGATAGTGTGGTATGAGTTAATCTTCCTCATGTTGTCAAAGCGCTAATGGACATCTGTGTTTCTAGATTATTCTTTAAATGGATAAAAAGTATAGAATTCTAATAATTACTATTTTTATCCTTTTTGCAGCTATGTCATCTTATCTTTTAATTATTAAAACAGAGCTTCCTGCTACTATTTCAGAATTTTTGTCTGGAGACCATACTGGGTAAGAAAAAATATTTCATGTTGTACCCATTAATTTATTAATTCAATAAATATTTATTAGTGATATGATAAAATAGGACAAGATGGGGAGGAACTATCTCTTGGAGAAGAGGAAAGGACAAATTTCTGGGAATATGAAAGATTGAGGTAGGTTATGGGGATGGTGGAAAGTATGGACAGTAAAGGTCTTCAACAGAGGAGAGGAGTGGATAACACTGCTGTCACTTCTTAGCAAACCACAGTGATAAAGTTACAACCACACTTGTGAGATTTCTATTCTAAAGCATGGTTTGAAAAAATAAATGATTTGCAGGGACTTAATGACTTCATTTCCTGTTTTTTAACAATATTATAAACAATATTAAAACACATTATATTTCTTTTCTCCTTTATTATTTAAAAAATACTGGGTTCTAAAGGCTATTGAATCATCTCTTTACGGTAAAAAAACAAATTTATTATACTTTTCATTGCATAGAAAAATTTTGAGAAAATATACTGGAAAAGACAGAATAAATTCTTTTAAGTGTCATCAAGTTATTTCACATAATTTCTAAACCACAACACAAAAACCTATGAGACTTTTAGATTTAAAGATTTTGCTCTAGTATTTGGACTTGTCTGGACTGCAGGGCAAGTTTTCAAAATTAACCTTTTTAGCTTTTACAACTTGGCTTCCATGAAAAAGTTTTACTTAGACAATTGCCAATACATATTTATAAGGAAAGTATGATATACTTTAGATTTGAATAGGAACTGGAAATCCTTCATGATTTTTCATCAGCAGAAGATATTGTGCCTTTGTGTAGTAGTTTATAGTTTATAGAGTTTCCACATTCATTATCACATTTGATGTTCACAACTGCCTTGCTTCCTCTACTTTTAAGTTTTATGCTTTTAGTTTGATGAACAGTTGCTATAAGAGCTCTGTGTAATTCACTTTTGCATTTTCTGTAAAAATATTCGGGACAACTTCTGTTACTCAAAAAATTCTATATGACAAATTTATTTTATAGTTTAGGGCTAAGAACTCAAGGCAATGAGAAGGAGAATCAGAAATGTTAGAGTACAAGTAGGATGACCTGTTCTATCCATATCAGTGACCTCAGGAAATTGACTTTACTTTTTCTGGCCACATAACTTAATTTCGAGGCTTAGGTTTCTTCACCGGCTTAATTGGGGGTACCAGTATTGCCCTCTTAACAAAGTTGTAGGGATGATCAGATAGGATATTATATATATACATGCTTTTGTAAGCTGATAGCATAGTGTAAATCTGGAGAATTAAGAAATGCCATAATGTGGGACACTTGGGTGGCTCCGCGGTTGGACATCTACCTTTGGCTCAGGTTGTGATCCCTGGATTCCAGGATCAAGTCCCACATTGGGTTCCCTACTGGAGTCTGCTTCACCCTCTGCCCATGTCTCTGCCTCTCTCTCTGTGTCTCTCATGAATAAATAAATAAAATCTTTAAAAAAAAAAAAGAAATTCCATAATGTTGAATGTCAAATATATCCTCAATTAAAAATAAAGAAATGTCAATAATACTAACTTATAGTAAAGGTGGATTTTCTCTGCTCTGCCAGGGAGGTCAGAGGCAAATTTGAATGTACTACATAAACTGTTCATCCTAATAGTTGTTACATGCTTGCCTTTTTCTTGCTCCTGAATTTGGTGACTTCTGTTTACTTTTTTTTTTATTGTCGTATGTCTTTATGGAAAGAGGAGGGATAAACATGCATATAAAATTTTAGAAATAATTAGGATAGTATGAGATAGAACTGCTATTAAAACTTAGGCCTTCTTTCTCTAAATATGATACTTTTACCATTGCTTTCATTTTAAATCAATTACCATTTATTTTGTTGGAGCTTTTTTTTTGAAAAAAATGAAATGGTATTTTTATATGTCATAAATGGATTTTTAAAGCTGTACTTCAAAATACTGTGGGCTGTTTGCACCATTTCTGTTTTGATGAAAATTGCACATCTCAAAAAAAAAAAAGAAAATTGCACATCTCTTTAACAGTCTCATGTTGTTTTACATATAATGTACATTTACTTATTTTGGATTTCAAAGTTGTAAAAAACATTAATAAGAGACTATATTAGTTGGTTAGAATGCAGATAAATCATTAATCTTCAAAGCTTAATTCTGTAAAATAATTAAGAAACAAATGTCATGGTAATTGGCAACTATCTGGGGGGCAGTTTATTTCTAAATAAAGTTCCATAACAATATTTCTTCTGAGATCAATGTGATATTGATATGTTTTTATTTTAGGGTTTGATTGACAATAAATTGCAGTTAAGGTCTTTCAGGTATGTTATTTTCTGGGAGATTTGATGTACCTTTGTGAAATATAAACCTTTATAAAGATGTTATCAAAAAGAAGCCTTATGTTCATAATACTCTAATTTCAAAAATTACTGTTAGAAGTCAAAAGCTATAATACTTATCCCAAACTTGTATGAGGCATTTGTATTTTTCATAGAATAATTTATATTTTAAAAATCTATGGCTGTTAAAAGTTGGAAGCTCTCTGTTAACATTTAATGATCTTGTCAGGGGAATATGATTGACACAATTAAGTTGTCTTGCATTTGAGTTACATAATTGATATGGGATGTGAGTAAGATCCTAATTCAGAACATATGATACTCTTGTTCCATTCCATTCGAGAATGAAATTAAAGCAACTTATAAATAAATCTGGTTTTCATTAAAATATGGAAAAAAGCAACTGCATGCCAAAGCATTTGCAATACAGCTAAGGATTTATACTCTATATTTCATACTTGGAACATTTTTATCATATAGGATTAAATCCACAGATCAAACAAGTTTTTTAGGAAGTATAAAACTTTTTACTCTAATTCTTTTGGCTTTAAGGAATGTATATTTAGATTACAGTAGGAAAACAGGGGTTCTGTTAGATAATTTTTCCCCCTTAGGAAAAAATTTAAGGTTAGTATATTCTTCTAAAACCTTGATTTATAAAATATACTTATTTAATATGTGCTTTTTGAGATTACTTTTTACTGGTTCATATTTCTCAGGCTGGGTTTTATTTTGCAAGTTTAATCATCCCTGTTCTTTGGAAAATATCCATTTCCAAACACAATTCAGTTGACTGTGACACGCACATCAAATCTAAACTAGCTTTAGTGTGCATTACTGAATTGCCCTATGGTTGAATGATAAAGAAAAGCACTGTATTTACATTGGCTTTATTAATGCACCTTAATAAGTATAAGAAATGATTAATAATAACCAGTAGCCAAGCCAGGGATAGAGAAACTATATTTGGCAATAACGTTCTTTTCATATTAGGAATTTAAAATTCAGTCCTGTGACGAGGAGAGTATACAGAAAAACACAATCTTAAGAAAAATGAGGCAGTATCTGAAAAATAGAGTAAACTCAGAGTGACTATTCAAGAGTAGAGATTGGGAGCTCCTGGGTGGCTCAGTCAGTTAAGCGTCCAACTCTTAGTTTCAGCTCAGGTTATGATCTCTGCTTATGAAATGGAGACTGCCCTCTGCCTCTCTCCCTCTCCTTCTGCCCCTCCCTCTTCTCCAGCTCATGCACACACTCTAAAATAAAGAAATCTTTAAAATAGTGAAGATTATTTCCATTGCTCTTGTCACTAAGATCATTCTCATCCTTTTGCTGCTTTCACAGACGTATAAAATGAAGCTTAGCCAAATAATCTCTGAGGTCTCTTCTTGTGCTAACATACCATAACTGTCATGCTGAGAGACTGCCGGGAGGAGGTGACCTTGTCTTCAGTCCCACAGTTCAGTGCTTTGGGTGGTCTCATGGCTTCTGGGCATGAGTGAATTATGATCTGGCATAGTATAATTGTAATAGTCTAAGTTATAAAGTTCAGGATTTCAAAACGTTTCTTTATCCTTATGCAAGAGAAAAAAGTCTTTGGTCCTAAGGATTGTGTTCTCTGCACAACTCCACCTTCGTGACAGTAGGAACAGCAGAACTAACAGATGGAATCTGCTCTGGTGTTCCATTGGGCCTTTTTTTTCCTGACACTGCAATTGTCTAGGTCTGATATTGGGTCCCAAAAGGAAGGAGATTTTAGGCATAGAGCCCTGGGCTTTTTGCCAGCTTCAGAAATTTAGTTGCCAAGTATTCCTCAGTGAGGGATATTTTGAAGTTCCCATTCTGACACTTATTCAAGAGTGACTGGAAGATCAACATGTCCAGTATCATTTTGTATTCTTAATATGTGTACCCTTAGGTCCTCCTGCATGCAGGAATTGAGAGGCATGTGCAAATGCAAAGAGCACAGCTTCAGGTCTGTTAGTACTAGAAATACTTGTGCACAGGTTTTAGTTTCGGACATTTCCTAAAGACATGAATTCGAGTGAAAAAGGGAAAAGTGTGATCATGGTACTATTTCTGCTGCTGCTCCTTCTTTTGTTCTGTTTAAAAGGAAGTTGTTGGCATCTACCAATGCCTACTGCATTATAAAGGACTTCCTCTTAAACCAGGAAATAAAAGACACAGTGAATCATGTAGTCCTTGTTAGAAGCCAGGGGTTGAAACCGGTGTAGAAGAAAACTTACTTAGTTACTTACTTACTTACTTACTTACTTACTTACTTTTTCTTTCTTTCTTTGTTTCTTTCTTTGTTTATTTCTCCTTCCTTCCTTCTTTCCTTCCTTCCTTCCTTCCTTCCTTCCTTCCTTCCTTCTTCCTTCCTTCCTTCCTCCTTTTCCTTTCCTTCCTTTTCTTTCTTTCTTTCTTTCTTTCTTTCTTTCTTTCTTTCTTTCTTTCCCTTCCTTTTTAATTTGAGATATAATTAACATATAACGTTTAGCATATAACACCATAAATTTAAGGTGTACAAGATTTTGATACACTTACACATTTCGATATGGTTACCACAGTAGTGTTAGCTAACCCCTCCATCACGTTATATTTAAGATCTAATCTCTTATTAGCAACTTTCAGGTATGTAATACATTATTGTTAACTACA